TGTGAACGGAACTTGCAGAGTGGCTAGAAAAAGTGATGCCTAAGCTCTGTATCCTGACATGAAAAGTAGTCATCTTTGCACTTACTGCGGGTTGAGTTCCACATCCTTTCTAAAGCTAGCAATTTGGGTTATACCATCTAATATTAAGATGAGAAATATTTTCAGGTGACCATTTGTATCATCATTCCTGAGTGGTGTTAGATTTAGTCTCCATCTTTGTTTGGACTGGCATATGGAGGGAAACTGTTAATAATTCTCCAGTGTCTGAAAGCAAGCACATACTATTGCGCTGTGTATGTAATACATGCCTTTTCTGACTGAATGTGGAGTCTGTGCTTTCATAGCTGACTTGAATGACTTTGATCTTCTGTTATCTAAAAGCCCCAGCTTTGTATAGAGTAGTCACTGTAGGCTATGTTGTCGCTCTCAGACTGGATCCATGCTGTGAAATATTTCCATGTAGTCTATAGTCCATAGTTTTGTTTTGTTTTGTTTTCTGGAGGAAGTAAAACAACTGTTTTAGTAGTGGCTGCTTCCTGCAAATGGAAAGCATTCTCCAGGGGAGAGCTGGGCAGAGCAATGACTGCTGCTCTGTCTAGGTGCATGGGGTACCACCTCAAGCTGCAGCAGAGGTAGCCTCTCCCAATAGCAGCTGACACCATCCCCACCCCATATGTGGCTGGCAGGAGCATCAGATGAGCTCTCTGTGGTTAGTTAAAACGATGCTTTTACGTACTGCTGCGAGCAGGCGAAAAGGATGCTGCTTTGTGACTCAGCGTGGACCACCTGATGTGTACATTGTGTGGAGAAAAATGATAAACAGAATAGATGCTAAGCTGCTGCATGTAAATTGGATAATGTGGGCACAGAAGACATCAATGATCCAAACATTTTCTCTTTTTAAGGCTGTGAAGATGATCCAGCTGAGATGCCTAAGTATCTTCTTAACATTGTTTGAAAAGTTGAAGCTGAAAGTGTAAGAGGTGGAGACGCAGCAGCATTCTTAACACAGTTAATGGAAAAATATGAAGGGAAACAAATGAGGCACTATGCACAGGTCTTGTGAAGGGGGAAAAAAAAAAAGGTAGTGGAGGGCTGGCAAAACTGCAGTGATGTCTGCTTTCCAGCACTTGTTCCTTTTCCCTAGCAAGTGGAGTGACTCTGGATAGTTCTTCCCTCTTTATTCTTGATTGTCTGCTTCCTTGTGTTTCTGTGGTTAAGCAGTGGTTTGGGTGAGGGAAAGCTCATAAGGCTGCCTATGTGCACAGTGTTGTAGAAGACTTATTTGTCAAACAATGGCTTTGATTTCTTAAATTTCATATCCATTTAAAAAAAAAGTACAGATCAAGCTGATCTAACAGTTGGAAGCATTGCTTCCCTAAGAGTACTGTGTGTATAGATGTTATGGTGTCCGTTTTTTTCATAGGCATGCAGAATTTTATGTATGTGAGTGCTAGATTAAAGATATTTAAAAACTTTAAAATGGAGAGATATTCAACGGTCTGTTGCATGGCATTTAATTTAGATAAGGGCACTGAAAACATACTTTCTACTAGTTCTTGATCGTACTGACTGCAGCATTTCTGAGAACTGAAGGGCTTTGAGGACTCTGGTTAATATCCTTAAGTATTCACAGTAATGAGTCTTCATTTTGTTATAGCAGAATATGTTTCTCTTGCTTTTAATATTCTACGTAAAACCAGTATTTCATAGGTTACTGAAACTACTGTAGGGAGGCTATCAGTTTGATTAGGGCCAAGTTAGTATTTTTCTCTTCCACTAGAGAATTTTGATAGGTATGGATATTGAAATGACTTTTTGCCTGCCTTACAGTCAGGTACGAAGCATAATGGCTGGTATTTTGGTGTTCTGAAGATCAGAGTATCAGATCTTAGTCTGATGAAGGTTATGTTTGAATTTGATTTACTGATAACTTGAAATTATTATCTTATTTGCAGATACCCCTTTAGTTACATACTCCAGTAGTTATCAGTGTACCCATTTAGTTGTCTAAATCTGTTGCTAGGTTTGAGCATGGCAGCAGTTATAAGCAATATAATTTGATGTCCATCAGGAGTATACATGGGGAGATTGTTACATTAGGAGAATATGATAAGATACCATTGCTGGAAATATGCCTTCCAAATTAAAAGTTAGATTTCATGCTAAACACAACTTAGCATTTCAAGTTAAATTTTAACTGACATTTATTATTACATCTCCACAGGGGAACTTTAGATTTGCTATAAGTATTCTGGACTGTTTTTCCTCGTCATTGTGTGAGACCCAAGTTTTCATCCCTTGAAAGTTTTTAGGTGAAGTTGATTGTTTTAAAATGCTGTCATTAATTAATTTTTGTCGTTGTTGTTGTGTAATGGCTTAGCAATAGTAGGTTCAAATAGTCATTTTAATTTGAAAATTCAAGACATTCTGCATCTTTCAGTATACAGGGAGAAAGTTCAAACTTTAATTTTGCTATGCCAAGCATGAGTGGAGTTTACTTCAGAGAATTTTGGGCTCTGTATAAAACCATGCAGAGCAAATCGTAGTTGTTCAGGTTATCAGCCAAATACACAAACTAGACCTCTCAATCAGAAGGGTTTTTGTGCTAATAATAGTTTCAAATGTGTTTATAGGATTGTTGTTTTATAAAATTTTTAATGTGTCTGAACATCGAGAAGACAGTTCCTTGTTGGTTTGAACTGGTGTGAACGGGGGTGACTTGAATTTAGCTAATAGGTTACGTCAGTGGAAGGACTAGCTCTGAACATGTATTCATATTTGTGCTTCTTTAAGCAGTAAAACCATAGCAGAGGCTCATAATTTCTGAAATGATAGCTTGTTTTCCTTTTGTTCTCAAACACTTTGGCTATTAATGAAAAAATATTATGTTTGCTGGCTTCTACTCAGCTATTCTGGATGTACAGTGTGCTAATGTAAATCAGCAGTTTCTGCTTCTATAAATAGACTTTGTCAGCAGCTGCAGAGCAAAACTGACGAGCTTCTGGTCATTTTTATTATTGCCATTCAGAAATTGTTTGAATAGCTCTGAAAGTGTCCGGTGGTATGTATGCCTGCTGTGGTGATATTTGCAGACTGAGCTGAGGTTATGAGTAGGGAGAGGGAAAGAAAGAGGGCATTTATAAGCAACGATGTGAGAATAGAGGCAAAGAGCTCTGTATTCCTTCATTTGGGAGCCCTTAAGCTGAGTTTGGAGCTCTTTTTTATATAAAAGACATGCCATCCAGCTAAAAAGACATGAGTTCTTAAATGAGGTCTCTGGGTAGCATTTATCTCTGTTCTTTATAGCTAAATATAAGGCAGCCTTTACAAGTGTGCTCTATTGGGGAGCATCAGCATACTGTGACCTGAGAAGCTGCCTCCTAAAATTTTCAGTTCCTTCTGCTGTGAGTCTGGTTTTGTGTGCTTCATGGGAAAGAAACAGCCAGGTGAGACTGCTTGCCTTCTACAGCCTTCCTCCCCTCCTGCACTGTCATGGGAGGTCTTGTATGGCTGAACAGCAACTGCTGCTATCGTCCTGTCTGGAAGCAGACTGGGAAGTGGTACCAAGTGTGGCCTGCAAGAAGAAGGAATGCTAACAGGCCAACCAAGTTACCATTGAGTGTGGACACAGGAGAGATTACCAGAAACAAAAAAGTAGTGAATATCTTTCATATGAGCGTTTAATTGAAGTCCTGTGTCTGTGTTCATCTGTGTGGGTTGTTGTTTCGGTTTGTTTTTTTCTTGAAAGCTAGCAATCTTCTTTTAAGAGTCTTACTACAAGGTCTCAGGAAATATCTTGGGATGTAAGAATTATTTTCCTGAAACAGAGATATGCTTACTTTCAGTGTTTCTCAAAGCACATATAATAAAATAGGTGGTAGATTCAGCTTGTGCTGAAAGTTATGGAATGACTTTGTATTCCCCCTCTAATAAAGGCATGTTTCTTGAATCTTGATAGCCAACCTCTGTGAATAACATATAAAGGAAAGGAAATTACGAAATACACTATTAGAATGGCAGGTGGGAGTAGAGAACATTTGTCAAGCGTTGCTTTAGAAACAGCACCACAGCCTGTGAGGTGGCTAAAAATTACCTAAAAGTGAAATTCAGTGCATTCCAAAGCCTTGGAAACTGGAAAGTTTCTTAGCATCTTAATTCTATGTTTTACCAGTGCTTTCATATGTATTCTTTGTACTGAATTGGATCTTAGTGATCTTAACTGTTATTCACGGAGAAGCACAGAACCCTGACAACTAGACTATTAGCTTATTATTTTTAATGTTGTTTGAAATGTATGTATGTTTTTGAACTCCTAATGGATATCTTCTGGCTTGATAGCTTAAATATTTTCAGGTGCTCTACTTCTAGAGAAATGGATCATACTAATTCTTCATAGAAGAAAATACTGACAATGTGAAAAAGCACAAAACATGTTTAAAAATAAAACATGGACTTGTGCTTTTTAAAAATGATTCCTCACATTTTATTCAGCTACCATTTTAAGGGAGTAATTATAGTTCATTCACTGTGAATGACCATTTGTGGCAATAATGAGGTCTAAATAATTGGGGAGATGAAGAATATGGTATTTGGCAGGTCCTTGCAGGCTGTTATGATATCTAATTAAAATACAAAGTTTAGAGGAACTAAATAGTTCTAAATAGTACTAACTTCAGAAGAACCAAAGAATAAGTATGTCAGAGTGCTTTTAAAGTTTATTGCTAAAATACAGTATAAACAGTTGCACTTTAAGTATTTAAAGAAAAGATGAGCATGTTGTATGCTAACTTAATTCCTTTTATAAAAAGTATAGAAACTCTTCAAAGTTATCTTTTGTGGAATTAATGGAAAGGAAGAAAAATTATAACTTTGGTGTAGAATTATTTTGACTTGTATAATTCTTTATCCTTTACAGACTGGCAAACGGCATTCATTCCAAGAATCTTTGCGTGAGAGACTTTACTAAATAAACCTTTTCTTTCTACTTTTAGTCAGCAGATAAGCAGCGAGCCCTGGAAGAAACCAAAGCCTACACAACCCAGTCATTAGCAAGCGTAGCCTATCTGATCAACACTTTGGCCAACAATGTTCTCCAAATGCTGGATATCCAGGCATCCCAACTTCGACGCATGGAATCTTCAATCAACCATATTTCACAAGTGAGACTTTTTTCCTGATTTCCCCCCCCCTTTGTTCTTGAAATTACATAGCAAGTAAAACTCTCACCTGACATTTTGTGAATAAGAAAAATAGTCGCATTTAAAACAGAAGGATGCATTTCTTCTTATATTAATTCTAGGAACGGGTCTCATTATGTGATTGTATATCTGTGTTAGTGTGGGCATTTTACATAGGATAAGAGATTAAATGTATTCTTGGCTGGTTTATTGTTTGGAGAGGGGGCCATTCTGTGTAAGTTGAAAAAACCAGAAAAATAGCTAATGGAAAAATCAGAATATTATGTTAAGGGACAGATTAAGCTTTCCAACTCCCTTTTGGTGACTTACTTTACTTGGTATTTATTGGCTACAGGCACTTGAAATTGAAAGAAATATGAAATGAACGATGGAAAACATTACTTATCATCTTTTTACTCTTCCTGTTGCTTTAATACTGGCATCTAATGACAAAAGCATAGATGACAAAAATAGTTTCCTCCTGGCTTTTCTTGGTAAAATGTGCTTTGCAATGACATGAACAAAAGGCAAAATTAATGTTTCAAGTTTGTGTATGGCTGCAGAACTCCTGCCATTGTTTACAGTTTATCTGAGCAGCAATAAACTAAGCTACTGTTATCAGGAAGCCATGTCCCATCACCGCACTGATGAGAGAATTTTGACTGCCAGAAGGGGCTGAGCATGGTTGATAGTTTTAGTGGAGATTTACATGCCAATGATGGACTAAAAGAGAAGTTAAGAGCAATGATACAGCACTTTCTGGTTTTCTGTTACTGGAGAGTTGGTTGGCATCCTTACTGATTATTTTGTGTCTTATTTGACCAATGCGTTTTGGCTGCTGGGGTTTCTTCATCTCCATGTGATAATGTCATAAATTAAAAAAAAAAAAAAGGAACATCATGGTATTTAGAAAGACATTTTGAAAGTAGGAGCTGTGTAAAGTAGGGAATAAGATCAAGCTAAACTGTTAACTTGCTGGTGCTGAAAGGGTTGCTAAATTAGGAGAGGTTTGAACCAGCAAAAGAAGTGAATAATTTTAGGCGGGCTTAATAGACTGAATTGGCTCACTGAGGGGTCAGATGAATTCCAGAGCAGGTGCAAAGCAACGAGTGGGGAGGATTTTTCCTTCTGGTAGTAGTACACTATTAGATTACCTCAGTTCATCTCATGCAACTGCATCCTCAAAAATAAGCTGAGAAGTTTGATTTCTTCTGCTACATGCTTCTTGTTAATCTGTGAACAAATCAATTCATTTTTTTCATAGAAAATGTCACAAATTACTCTCTGTGTGGGTGGGTGTCTATGTGTATGTGCTATATATATGCTGTGTATGTGCCTCTGTATATGTATATATGTGTGAGTGCTTGTGTGTGTACGTATGTGCTTCTTGACAGGCTAGCACCAGCTGACAAGTATTTTGACTATTTGAAAGCCTGATGCAAAAGACAGTATATGAATAAAAATATTCAGAGTTCACTGAATTTTGCATTTTATAGATGTGGAAAGTTCATTTTGTCACACAGTTTCTGTAAAGTAGATTTTGGGGAAAGGGCCATAGCATTCTAAATTTTTTCCTTCTGAGAAGCTGAGATTTATGCAGATTGAGATGCTAGGTTAGACTGTCTTTGGAATTTATACAAAATGGCTAGTTATTTAAAATGGAGCAGTAAATTACCAGTCCCCAACACCTAGTGAAGATGTATCTGCCCAAAATTCATAGGCTGCACCTGAACAACCAAAAAAAGGTTGGTGTTTGGTTTTTGTTTGTTTGTTTGTTTGTTTTTAATATCAGTGTGAAATTGAAAATTGAGTTTGGTTTTGGTTTGTTTTTCTGAGTCTGCATCATCCATATGTAGGGTGCTCCCCAAATCTTCATGGAAGAAATGGTATCAGAGGAGCAGACAGTATGTGAATTTTGGATATTATATACACAAAGTGTGTTGATCCAAGGAACTTATTAAGTTGGATTCAGTATGTTCAGAAATGGCTTCATCCTGTGATACCAATGTTGTAGATAGTTATATTGTTTGTCTTAATTTTAGTGGTTATTTTTCTTTAAAAAATGAATGTATTTTGTCACAGTTTCTGTGTAATAAATAATTTCTTTTCAGGAAGTTTGATTATACTTCTCCTGGTACAAGCCTAAGCTGCAGAAGACTTCCTCGGTCTTTTTTATTTTGGGTGTAAAGTTTAGTGGACTGTTCCTAGTACCACTTAAAATGTCTCATGGTATAATACCTTATTGCCAAGTTATGATTTCAATTAGTCTGACTTGAAATGATGTCAGTAATGTAGAACAGAAAACAGATTGGTAATTACCATCTGCTCATTGCATTATTGCACTAATGCTTTGGTCAGTAGGTATTGATATTTATGTTTAGAAAACACTGATGCAAATTATGGTATTTGGATGTGTAATCCCGCTTTTAATTCTGATTTGAAATTCCACATATTCTCCAAAGAAGGGAGCAAAATCATTTGGCTCCCAGTAAGAAAACTTCTTGAAAAGGCCTTGTTTTATTCAAGTGTAGCTCAAACTGGAAGAGACGTGTTTAACTTTAGGAAATTGAATATTATAGTTCTCTGTTCATTGATAGAATGCCAATTTATATAACTTTCTATGTTATCTTCTAAATGCCAACTTAATCAAAGAGCTGAAAAGGAAGCTGATAATAATTTGAGGTTTTCCAGATTATGTATAGGTCTTGAATAAGGAAATCATTACTATTGAAACTATTTTTGTGCAAGTGATTAAATCCTATTGGTTTAAAATTTAGGATTACTTTGATTTGGTCTGGAAGCTGATGAATCTATTTTTATTTGCCTTCTTGAACCTTGTCCAGAACTAGATGATATGCAGTGTTTCATATTCGGCTGAAAATTTAAATCCTAAATACAGATCATCTGTATAAATATTTACACTTGTTAAAAAAATTGTGTTACAGTTTTCAAGTTAGCAGACACGGTGAAATGTTGCTAATGTCTAAATTCTTTAAATTAAAATGTAGATTTTCAGGTTTTAATATTTGTATGAGAAATAACTTTTCAGGTTTAGTTATAGAGTTAGCAAGGACCTCTTAGTTAGCAAGGTCATCTTTAAAACTCTGCTGCTAATTATATAAACAAGCATGTTGTTACAAAGGTGAGTGATAGTGATGAGTTATCTCCAGTGGCACTGCATGATGGAGAAATCTGCTTCAACCTCTTCTTACAGAATCTGACTCCCATGATATTGACTGTGAGAACAGGTATTGAATAGACTGCAGACTTGAACTCCTCTGTAGGCAGCACATGTTGCTTAGCTGAACCACTGTGGGAGCTGGTTCGGCTCTGCAGGAAGTTCACTTGGGCCTTCCATTGATAGGTCAGTAATGACTTGTAAACTTTTTCAGTCATCTTATTCTTGCAAGTTTCAAGAATAGCCAAACTCTTTCAAAAATGGTAATGCAAGTCAAATTTTCCACGGTATATGTTACCTGTTTATGGAGCAAGTAACTTTTCCACGTTTTTGTATCATTATGACCCCTTTCTTCGAGTATAAGTTACATACAACTTGAGTTGAGGCAACGAATGTCCCATTTCTAGCATGTCAAAATAAGACAGTTACTAATTTTAAAGTAATAATCCAATTTTCAAGGTAATTTGCAATTAGTTTTTTTAAATTCTGTCAAAGTAGATTAAAAAAACCAAAACAAAACAGCAACACTTATTTAAGCAACATTTTCTTCTAAGATTTTTTTAAACTCAATTTTAAAAGCCCAGACTAACAGACTGACGATACATTTAAATTAGAATGTTTTGAAAAGAGGAAGAAATAGAGGGTTCCGGAGACTTTTATTTCTGAAATTTCACTACCTTTTAGACTTTCAAAGTGCTGCCATGGTTTAACTCCAGCCAACAACTAAGCACCACCCAGCCGCTCGCTCACTCCCCCTCAGCAGGTGGTAGAGAGAGAATCAGAAGGGTAAAAGTGAGAAAACTTGTGGGTTGAGATAAAAGCAGTGTAAAAATTGAAATATGATAATGATGATGATGATGATGATAAATTGTAATGAAAAGGCAGATAACAGAGAGAGAGAAATAAAACTCAAGAAAGAGAAATGATGCAAATGAAAACAAGTGCTCACCACCAACTGACTGATGCCCAGCCAGTCCCCAAGCATTGGCCCTTCTGCCAACCTGCCCACAGCTTTATATACTAACCATGATGTCATATGGTATGGAATATCCCTTGGGTCAGCTGAGGTCAGCTGTCTCTGCTGTGTCGCTTCCCAACTGCTTGTGCACCCCTAGCCCGCTCTCTGGAGGGGTGGGGTGAGAGGCAGAAAAGACCTTGACTCTGTGTAAGCCCTGCTCAGCAATAACGAAAACATCCCTGTGTTGTCAACCCTGTTTTCAGCACAATTCCAAAAGTTAGCCCCATATGAGCTACTATGAAGAAAATGAACTCTGTCCCAGCCAAAACCAGCACAAAAGCTAACTTAATACTTTGAGAAATTTCGTTTACAGATAGAAGAGAATATTTCTCAAAACTCTTGAGTTCAGTGACTTTTAAGTGGAGTGGTAAATAGTGTTAACTTTGGAATCCTAAAAATGATTTAATGTTTTTTTTCTATTTTAATCTTTACAGATCTTGAGGCTGGGTTTATTGAATTCAATATGGAAACTTGATGTTCAAAATGGCCAGAAACTTCCTAATAAATAAAAATGCAGTGGTTTATACTTTTTTTCCCCTTAAGCTATCCTTTGGCTTATTGCAGGCATCTTGGAAAGCATATGAAAAGATGGTAGTAATGAGCCTAACCTCTAGCAAACTGTCGTTTAAAAGTTTTTGCCAGAGGTAATGGAGCTATAGGGGGAAGAAAGCATAATAATGCTGTCAGGAGTCTGAAATTTCTTGTTAGAAGACAGTGTTTTAAGTTATAGAAGGGCACAGTGTATTCCACCTGCTTTTCCTGACAGACTTTCCAAGCCAGGTGATTTGTTAGTCCAGCTGTAACCCCCAAAACTTCTCAATAGAAGTTTCTAAACTGCTGAATAAACATTCTGCTAGCATTCTTCTGTCTCACTTAAGGGATTTACGCTGGTACTGGAAGCAATAATTACCTGTGTGTTGAGGATAAATGTTTTCATTTTCTTTAGTAGCAGGTTAATCTTTGTTCCTTTCTCTACTAGTCAAATAGCTCAGTGTTCCCTTCTGCTGTTTTATAGGCGTCTTAAGATCTTATGACTCCAGTAGTCTACTAAGCAAGAAAATGAAATTTTTGAAAAACCTGCCCGCAGAGTGCTTTTCAGTACAATTTTAGGAGTATGTACCAGAATTAGGTGCCGGTTTTATACTCTTAGTCATTCCATAGCTATTCAAGGTAAAAGAAGTGTTCTGAGTCATCATGCAAGAGAATTCCCATTAGATGAGCTTCAGACTTTAATTAGGTTTTATGCATGTCATTGTCTGTTACTGTAGTCATGCCTCACTGATCACCATTGTCCTTAAGGAAACCGGTTGTGCTCACAACTCTTATGAATAATTAAAAAACTGTGCTTTTCATTCATGGAAACAAATTTCCAAAGTGCCAAGATACCATCACTACAATAACACGTGCATTAAATATCTGTACACGCATTGTATTTATAGATAATTGCATAAGAAAATACTAAAAGAACATCTTTAAAGTTGCAGAGGTCAAACACTTGAAATGGAGAGAAGGGAAGAAATCATCTTGCCAACACTGCAGTAGTTGCTTTACTTTCTTTCTTATTTGCAGATCAAAGTTAAGACTCTGAGAGTGTAGTGTCTAAGGCATAAACTAGTTTTGAATGACCAGGTTCAGACCCAGAAGATTTTGATGTTTTGGCACATTTTAAACATCGTATAGCATTTGAGGTGCAGCTGCTGTTGCAGCTGAGGATGTTTAACATTCTAGCAAATGATATCAGTGACCTGTGAAACAAAGAACATACAAGAGTCAGTGTAATGTTTCTGCAGTTCCCTAGTGACATGTCTAGATCACAGATGAAGTCTGAGATAATCGCAGAGATTGAATTCTTCATTGGTATTAAACATGAGACTGTCCTCCAAGTTGTTGCAATCACGTATTGTTAGCTTATCAAGAAAGTATGTGCTTTCTAACTCCTCAACAGATAAGGTGAGGATTCTGTAGCTGATCTCCTTGGTATGACTGCTACTTGTTCTAGAACTTCTCCTTCCGCTATGCTGCAAAAGCAAAGGTCTGGCACAGAGAAGGGACAAAAACCTGTAATGGAAGATAAAATATTGAACATTACCCTGATGCAGAATGGCACACTTTTGGTACTCTGGCGTGGAATGTGTTTATGTGCTCTGTTTGCACTGGTGCTTGAACAGTCAATAATATCATAAGAGCTGTGAAGATCTGTTCTGTGCTGTTGTATTGGGGGATGATGTATAGACCTGGTCATCACAGGGAGCTTCAGGAAGGATTTTGGCAAAATCGGTTGGAGAGTGGTTTAGTTGTTAAGTAGTCATAGAAATATATGTGTTTCCGTTAAGCTTGTGTGAACCGTCAATTTCTGCAGAGTTTATATATTGACCAAATCTGGGTGATGTATGAGGATGATGGAAGATGTGTCCCAGATAGTTTAACTACCTCTATTAAATTTCAAGTTATTGCTCAACGAACTTGAGCTTTCCAAAGAGAGAGTTGCCAACATATTTTGACCTTGAATAATCTATTTTTCTGTAGCTTTGTTTTAAGAAATAACTGTGCAGCTTTAGTAGGAACCTTACAGTTATAGGCAGGTGGTACTGGAGACAGCAGAAATGTACATGACAAAGCTGTATTCTTGCAACTTTGCTAAAATTAAACATTGATCTTGAAAATATGTTGCTGGGAAATAGTGGGTAGTCTTGATAGACAGTAATTTAAGCTTCCATGTAACGCCCTTGGTATTTGTGGAAATTCTTCTCTGGAAAGAATGTGAAGAAACAACTTCTGGGAAGTGGGTTTTTTCTAAATTTTTGTAGTTTTAAAGGTTGTGATGATTGCAGAAGGTAATACAGGGTCCATTTTGCTTGTTTTGCTATCAGTAACAAACAACAGTGTAAAACAGTGTAACCAACCCCACTGCCCCAATCCATGACCATAGAAAAATACAATTAAAAAAATGTGTGTTATGAAAACGAGTTCGCATTTGTACCTGTTCCTTACATACTACAGAGCCTCTCTGCTAACTGTGAAAAGTCTTTCTGGTGCCATTCATGATCACTAAAGTGGTAACAAGAAATCCTATGAATGTTTAGAAATCCTAATGGTGGTGATTCTGGCTGTTTTCTTATGTTTTTTTTAGGCTGCAGCTGAAATGTTTGTTCACAACTCTGGCAAATTTCCTATAGGAAAAGTGTTTTGTGAGCAAGAAATTATTTCTGCTTTAAATGATGCAAGCAACTCTGTGCATCATGATTTAAGAGATTTTATTTTTCTGGAAGGAGTAGATAGACTTTTTGGTAACTTTTTCTAGTCTTGTTACCAGACAAGATTCAAGTACATGTTTTTAGGCAATGAATTTTCAGGAGGGCTTTGTCTTACACTAGAGATTCTTCTGTGGTACTCATATGTGGAGGGAGGGATTTTCAGTGTTGGCCTTAGGCATTCTAAGTGAAGGCACTGGGCTTAACCACTGGCTTCATTGTGGATAAATTAGTCCTGAGCACTTTCTAAAATCTAATCATTGCTTTGTGATGAGTGGTTTGTAATGACTGAAATTCCTTGTCGATTTGTCTGAGTGAAATTTTCTTCTATCATATGACTACCAGTCCTAGTTTAGCAAACTGTTTTACAGCATAAGAAAACCTGCTTATGGTTTGTTTTTCAGGTCATAAAAGTTAAGGTTTGGGAAGGTATCTTTGCACTTCATCCAGTTGGAGTCTATTTCAAAAACGAGCTTAGAGAGCACTTCTAAAATTAAAAAGGATAATTGAAGGAGTCATATAAATCAGTGTCAGTAAATTAATGGGAACTAGTAAGAATGGAAAGAAGAAGGAATTTTTCTGAACTGTGAAGAATGGAAGTGACAGAAAACCCAAAGAACCCATAGCTATTAGTGTGGGTTTAGAGGTTAAAAGTTCAACAGTAAATTGAACAAAGATGATGTAATCAAGTGTATGTAGTGATATGTTTATCACAGTATACAGAGATCTTCAAAAAGTTGGAACTGATTCAATTTATTTTTTTTTAATACTGACTCTGTATTCAAATGCATACCACTGTTAGTAAATACACTGCGTCTTTTGTAGACGGTGGACATTCACAAAGAGAAAGTTGCTAGAAGAGAAATTGGTATCTTGACTACAAACAAAAACACCTCAAGAACTCACAAAATCATTGCACCAGCTAACTTGGAGCGACCAGTTCGCTACATCAGGAAACCTATTGATTATACAATTCTAGATGATATTGGACATGGAGTGAAGGTAGGTGATATTGTTAAAACAGCCAAACTGCAAATACATTGTCTTTGTATATTTTCAAAATAACCTGATGCTTTTCATGATAATATACCAGTTTCTCCTTGCCTGGCCAGTCTATAAACATAAGAGGAGTCCTGTCCAGTTTGTAGTTGCCCCTTCCCGTTCTCTTGCCCCGGTGTTTCTAAACCTTGCCAACCCACTGAATCTTACTTCTGAGGATATTCGGGACTATGGATCTCACCTTTTAAAATGCTTCTCAATACCTACTTGTGTGTTGCTGCTATTATTGTTTGAGTCAGTTGCCAAGGATATACTTGGGGACTGAAAGGCTGGTGACCATCAGTTTTCTGCCTGAATTAGCACCACAAAGTATGATCCAGCTATAATTGCCACTGGTCTACTTTGAAGCTCACCTGAAGAAAGGGTTTGCATGAGAAGTATTATGTGCTCCTTTTTCTTCTTTCTGTCAGAGTCAGTTATACCCGTATCCTGTAATGTGCTTTGTTAAAGTGAGCTCGCTATAACTTTTGTGCCATATGGGGTTTCAGAAGGGCAATATTGCTACCAAGTTCAAAGCCAGCTGGTTCTCCCTTTTAAGACTAGGAAAAAAGGAGGAATTTCAGGGCAAAGCTGAGACTGAGGCACAACTGGTGGCTGTTGTACGCAGGTGTTAGATCAGTGTACACAACAGCAGTAATACCGTGTGAGATTAGGCATGCATTTTTAAAAGCACATTCTGAATGTAAACACGGTCTTAGCAGGTGAGAGCTCATTGTTAACTTGTGCTGCCAGGAAAACAAAAATGGAAATGAGAACACTGACAGTGTTAAAGTTCCAGGAGAAGAAAGGTAAATGACACAAAGTGGTGTCATTTTTACAGGACAAACTAACAAATCTGTAAACCTGCTAAATAGCAGTAAGGTAAGATGCTTCTTCCAGTCAAAGTACACCAGAATTTCTTTTGCTTGACACCTAACTGCATGAGATTATCTGTTGTTCATCTTGAACTGTCTGCTTGGATAGCTGTTTCAATGGCAATAGGTTGTTTAACCAAACTCTTAAAATTCAAATTCTGAACAGTCCAATTTAAGTATCTTTCCCAAACAATTTTATTCAAGGTCTTCTCAACATCCTGTTTGTTAACAGAAAGTCTTTTTTTCCCCCGTTTCTATCAGAAGAGTCATCCTCAGTTTGTAACTCTAAACAGATTTAAAGAAGAGAAGTGAGTCTTTAAGTATGATTTGGCAAACCAAACCAAACAAAAAAACCCCAGCATTAATAACTACAGTTTTGACCAGGAAATTATTATCAGTCATGTTAAAATCTACTGGGATTTCTTATAAATTTTGAATTTATGTAGGTCAACAGAACTCCTTGATATGGGTGGAGCATATTAACCTGTAGGATTACTGTTGCTAATATTTTAATGATCACTTTTGTTTTAAGGAGATTATTTTAGAACTCATTAAAGAATAGTTTTTAATTGCTCTGCAGCACAATCTTAATTAACACTGGCTCTAAACCATTATAATTGGTGTCCCAGCTACCTCAGTGTAGCAGAATCATACTCACTGTAATGCAATGAATTACATTCTTCTGAAAGAACATAACTCATCAAATGGATAATGACTGAAATGTATATTTGCATCCGTTTGTTATGCTTGTGATATGCTTGAAATATCTTACAAATGGTATTTACAATGTTCTGTATTTATCTAGAAAATAGAAAAGTATTGTGCAGTTGTGAAACAATAAGCAGAGAACTTGAAATCGTACTGTTCTCAAGATCCTTATATGTGTTCCAATCAGGTTAACCCTGTGTTCAGCACACAGGAGAGAGCTACTCTCTTGCTGATGGGAAGAAAGTGGCCAGTTGTGCTTATGAAGCTATTGTTTTTGCTCTGCTTGAGTAACTACAGATTAGTTTACTAGATCTCTGGCTGGAGAACAAAGAGAAAAAAAGAAAAGGGCTAGGAGCTTTAAATTTGCCTATTTATAGCTCTTTATTGCTTGAGCTGTGACATTTTTCCGTTCAGTGAGTATTCAGGAGTTACTGCATTAATAGCATTAAAGTCCAGCTAGCATCAGGGTCCCTCAGTCTGCGTTCTTTGTCCTCTTTCTGCTTTTTCTGTGATAGGCTTCCGGTCTAGTACTTGGGCTCAGAATTATACATTGTTGGGACAGTCAAAGAGCTAATGCAGCAGGCATTCATTGCAGCTCCTGAGAAAGATAGCAAACTGGACAGAGAATAAAACAGGAAAAAAGGGAGCATCCGTGGCCATGAAATCCAGTATGCCATGTTGAGAGAAGTAGTATAGGCACTTGAGCACCTATTCCTTCTATTCAGAAATTCGAAGCATCAGTTAATATCGTCTTCAGGAAAAGGAGCTGTACAGTGTGGTTTCTTAATAGGCGAGAGAGAATTTATGTGCCACTATATCGTTCCAGCAGTCCCTCCTCATCTTCCCTCCCTGAAGCTACAATGCTGCAAAAATCTAAAGAACCTTTTGTCTGAAAGAGACTTGCTTTTGATTTTTTTCAAATGTTTCTGGAGTTACAAAGTCTTCCAATTTTTTCTTCCCTCCAAAGAGTTCTTTAGTCAAGAAGACTGAAAGAAAAAAGGTTGATCCATTGAAAGTGGTGTGTATTAAGGCACTGTGATTATCAGGCAATGCTGCTGAGGAAAAGGTCTTTGCTCATGGACACTCTAATGTAACTGGCCACTCTGGCCAGTACAGGGAGACCTGGTTTTCCAATGTAGCTGTATGAAGCAGAGACCATTTTGGTTAACAGATCCATGGAACTTTAAACTCAAATACAGGAAATTTTCTAGTAAATCAGATTGTATTTCTTTTTTTAATACATTAGGGTATCTTCTAAATGGATGAAACAGAGTGGTCACTCTGGATGCTCCATTGTTGAGATTCTGCGTATTCAATGTTTGGTGTTACAAAAAGTGTAAGAAATGTAATGATATGTTTAGATTAGCTGAACTGAAAACAGATCAAATGATATTCAAATGCAAAGACTAGTATTTTTGAAGAAATTATTATGGGGAAAGAAGATACATGGTTTTGTGCCAGTAAGATGTAGGAATGTCAAAAAGCTAGCACTTAGGCTAGCCTTTGAAATAAGATTTTGCTGTTGGTTAATGTCTTAATATGTAGTTTAGAAAATATTGATACATGGTGCAGTATCCATATAGAGTGCTGTGCTTCTTACAAGACGTAATGATTTGCTCTTGGTCTTTTTTCAAGAGATATCACAGGGCCTCAGGTTAAGAGTTAACTATAACAACACTGTCTAGGAAAAAACATATATTAGCTTAATATTCTAGAGGCTTCTGTTTCAGCTAGTTGTAAATGTGCTAATGCATGTAACAATTTAAATGAGCTCAAGGTATTGATAAGGCTATTCTTTGACAGCTCAAATAAATTGATCTCTGAGGTCAATCCATCTAGTTCTCATGCTCCATTCTGAAAGAACCTAACTTTTTGTTAGCACTGTAAGAACTTGAGTAAACAGTGTACAAGCATTTGAGCATTAATTTTAAGGTGTTAATGTAAAGGCTTTGTGGTCAATGTATATTAAAAGTTTCAGCTTGAAAATCTTTTGTTCATGACACATTCTGCTTTAACCACTCTTTCTACGATCTACTGATACATTATTTTGTTATTGCTGAATGCTTAACTTTTTTCTTTCTTTTCCCTTTCTCTTCATATCCTGAAGTTCCAACTAACCTTTCAATGCTTTTTTTCCTTACCTCTTTTATTTGCTCCATTTATGCATTAAGTGGTTGCTTAGATTTAAGGTAAGAAACCCCAGGGCTGGATTTCCATTCTTGTTCTTCTGAGACTATTACACACGGGGAGATGATTAACACGAATGTTACTGATTGTTTAAAACAAAACCTGCTCTCCCTCCTGTGTATCAGACCTTCTGTTGAATGATTTCATTGCAGATAAACATTTTGTGATATAAATTGATACTTTTATGTAAGGAAGCTAGCACAGTTAATTTTAAAACCTTTGTGGCAAAATATTGACTGCCTTCAACATATCTACCAGATCATTTACAAGGGAGGAATGTTGTGCTAACTTTGTGCAGTCAAAAAGATAGAGTGAACAGGTAGCAGCTGAATATGAGCCTCCCCCTGTGTAATACTCTTTTTATCCTATATACGGTGTAAATTATGATTTGATTGGGATTAATGTTTCAGTGTGAGATTGCTCAGATAATGGGCTCCAAAGGTGTGCAACAAATTCAAATCTGTATATTATTTTTTAAAGTTGCAGTATCCTTAATTTTTTCAGAAACTGAGGTAAATAATAAATTAAATACTAAATTAAATAAATTAAATACTGAGAGGCATTCATATATGGAAATTTTCACAGATTTGATAGTTGTGTAAAATATTTAATAACCCTTAAACAACAAGCTAAGTGATCTGTTTAGTTGAATATTAAATGACTAGTGCATCAAAGAACTCAGACTGAAATATGTAAAATTCTCAAGGATCTTAAAGAGGTTTAAATGTTACTAGCTTTAGTGGCTGCAGAAGGAGCAATAAAAAACATCAAATCAATTAGACGAGCCGTTAAATGAAGTTACAGGATACTATGTTGGAGTTCATAGCACATTAGCTATGTGCTGAATAGACAGGTTATAGCCTTTATTGAGTATTGTGATATCGTCATCCTCCTGAAGTGCAACTGGTTTGGGGAAAGAGGGAACAAAGGTTTTTTAGTAGCAGCCGCCACAATTTTAAAGAGGGAACTATTATTTTAGAACACAGAATAGTAGTATGAGTATATTAATTAAATGAAGTTCTGAGTTCATGTGAAATATTTTTCATGACTAAGTATTTTTCATGACTGGAAAAACCTAAAAGAAAATCCTGCATGTTCCTGAAAAGATTGCCTGTAAAACCAGGTATTACTATAGATATCCCAATGATGTCCCTATGGAATTGACCAGATGGTACTTTTAGTAAGATATTAAAG